ATCCAGCTCACCTTAAACCCTGCCTCTGCCTAGAGCCCTTGGGCGCATTTTTAAAGTGAGCTAGCCTATCAGCTTGGTTTGTCTGCCTCTGAAATGGATGGAGAGTTTCTGTATTTGTATGTTTATTTTGCTAAGCTTATAGCGAGACTGTTCAGTGTATAAATTGTGTGTCCCTGTCTCATTCACTTGTTGATTTAGCAGAGATTGGGTATGTGCTGTGTGCCTGCTGTGCTGGCTCAACAGTTCTTCCAAGAACGGACATGAACCTGTGAGTGGAAGCACAGTGCATGCTTTCTCCTCAGTGCTGTAGAGAATCAGCTTTTCTTCACTGAGTGTTCAGACATTGTGTTGAAACTATAACGTCAACTTATTAGTGTCCTTTGTTGAGGACATTGAAAGAGCAAGGGCTAAATTCTGGGTTTAACCTGTAGAACAAAATGAAGCAAAAATATCTGTGTAATTGTAGTGTAGAATTAATTTAGGAATCTTTCTTCCTGCCCCAAAACTGCATATATCACCGATAGGAACTTAAGAACTTCTGTTTGGCCACTCCTTTTGTTTGAAAGTCAAACAGCTTTGGTGGTAGAGTTATCTCAGACCCCAGCTGGAGCACAGGGAGGCTGTTTCAGGAAGTGCTGACTGAGCCTGCGGTGGGCCGGAGGTCTCCACAGGAGCAGGTTGGCTGTGGAGTGGCAGGGAATTCTGGGCTGTCTTGCCTCTACTCTAAGGAAGCCATGATAGTCTTTGTCCCAGGAGATTTTTTTTTTTTAATTTTTTAATTATATTTTTGACAATCTTTACATAGTTAATTGGGGTAAAAAGGTTCAAGGGCTATAGGAAAGTGGGTAAGACTATTATTTCCATATTGTTTCCTTCATGTTTAAAAGGGGGGTATTAAGGGAGAAGGCCCACCCAATTTCCCACCCTCCCCAGATCCCGCATGTAGGGTATGCTACGAGGTTCTTGCTCAAGTGGTTTTGATAGTTCACCAGTTATAAATTGCTGCCAATCTTGCCACTCCAAGCACTATGAGGTCTTTGAAGAATCCACCGATTGATATAGTCTCTCATAGAGTCTCCGTTTGCCCCGTATTTCGCTGCCAACATGTAGCTGAGATGGTTGATTGACCTGTTCCTTCTTTTCTCTTTTCTTGGTTAGGGTTCTAAGTCCAGCATTTCGATTGGGGAGTTCACAAACAAACTTTGTCTGAGGTGTTCTCGGACCAGATTCTTGTATGTACTAACAGGTACAGGGTCCGGCTCAGTCCATGGCCCTGATCAGCTGGTGGTTGCAATCACTGATTTGATTGTTTTCAGCCCCGACTTCCACTGGAACTAATGGGTGTTGCAGTCCAGCCTGGTGCTGCTCAGCACGTTCTCGGCCCTCACATAAACCAGTGGGAGCTGCAGCCTAGTTGGAGCGACCCACAATAACCCCCACCAGGCCCGCCCCCTACCCTGGTTTGCCAGTATGTGTAGCAGTAGTCCAGTCTGTCCCACACCCCATTCCACCCCAGCCCCAAGAGGAGATTTAAAAGCTGGCTCATCTATGTTAGCAGTGTTCTTCTGAGGAATTTTTAACGAGATAGAAGATGGAAAATGAGAAGCTTGTTTGTAGTTTGAGTTTCCGAGATCACAAATGATATTTTGAGGAAAATTTTGCCTGAAAGTTTATGTTTTTTTTATTATTTTAAATTTCCTGGGTGTTAGTTACCCATACACAAATCTTGCCTTGAACTTAAAAATTTTCTCCCAAACCAGCACATCTGAAATGAAGATAAGTAGTTCTTCCCAACCTTAAGTTTCCATTGTTTTATTATTGGCTGGAAATTGACCCTGAGAAATCACTGCTGCCCTTTGTTCTTCGGTTTCTGAAGTCAGTAGGATACAGAGAGAGATCACCTTCATGCCCATGCAAGCGGTAATCCTCAGCTGTCTATCTACATGGCCAGCACTCACCCTAGCACCAGTGTACTGAGAGGGTGATCCTTTAAGGCACCTGGACTGCAAGGAAGGGATGCTCTTCAGGGACGTGGCGTGTTGGCGTCATCTGAGTGCTGTCTGAGGGAGAGGTGCCTCCCTCTGTGCTGGTGATCTGAGCTCTGGATTGACTGCTGGGAGCGTCTTCTATAGGAACAGTGTTAGAAGATGGTTGTATCTTGGGTAGACCAGCTACCTGCTTAGCTCCTAATGTTGCCAACATACATAACATTTTTGATGACAAGTAAGAGCTGATAGTGCTATAAAGTTAAGCCTTAGAGGACAAACTGTTAACACTAGTTTTTTTTTTTTAGTGTATTTCCAGTAGGTAAAAAATAAGTTTTTGAGTAAGTTTATTGGAATAGCAGTGTAAAGGTGTCAGCAAAAGTTCTCGAAGTGTCTCTTTGTCAGAGATCAGATCTAGAGTGAGCTGCACCACGGCACTGTCCCCATCACTGAGCTCTTCACTCTTCAGAGCCCACCCCAGAATATAGTCAGTGTGCACTGTGATTTGAAGAATGCCTGTCTCAAGAAATTAGTCACGTGTGTTTTTAATACATAGGTATGCTTGATAAATGAATTTAATTGGCCTGCATGTTTAACAGCATTTAAAACTTGGCCACCTTCTCAGATTTCCTGCTTTTTGTGATGTTGCTTCTCTTATCCAGTTCTTTCTCAGCAGACTTGAGTGTTGTTCAGAATTGTCCATTTTTTGGTCTTCCTTTTAATATAAACTACATGGAATCAGAGAATGTTCTGGTAGAAGTGTTTGTTGCTTGTATTTAGATCCATGGTATGTTTTCTGTAGTTGAACAGGGAGGCTCTTCAGGTTCTGTTTGGTGTTGGTCCTTGTTTTGCTGCATCTAACTTCCTTTTTCCTGGATACTAGGCCTTCTGCCCTTCATACTCTGAGTCATTCCACCCATTTCATTGTGACTAGCCTCACTGCATTTGAAGCTCCAACTTGAGTTCCTATGACAAGTGTTTGCAGTTTATTTCTGGATGAAGCAGTGGACCGCCATGTGAAGCAGTAAAACAGGAAGAGCAGGGCAGCAATTGGGTGGAGTGTTTGCTTCCTCTTGATTATTATTCCAGCCCTGCCTTGCTTTTAAGTAGCTACACCACTTCTGATGTCTGCCTTGCCTTCAGCTTCTGGTCTTCATCCTTCTTTTAACCAAAGCATCTGCTCACTTCTGATCAGATAGGGATTTCCTCTTGCCCTATAAATAAATCTAAATATAAAATCTTTTTTAAATGCCCCCCCCCCCTTTTTTTTTTTTTACTGTTTTGGGAAGTCTGGGATCAACTTTCAGCTCAGAAACTGACCAGCCAACACAAGAACTCTCTAGTGAGGGGGTGGAAACAAGTGAGCAGAGGGGGCCTTCTGTCTGATAGCGCACTCCCCAAGTGACCATGGCAGCCAGGACTAGGCTAGGCCAAGGCCTGGAGCCACGGCCCTCTGACCTGTTCCCCGCCTAGGTGAGAGGGCCCAGAACTTGGGCCATCATCCATTGCCTTCCACAGCTGTTAGCTAGAAGCTGGACAGGAACCTGAGAAAGTCCTCTATGCTATGCTAGCTCACTGACTACACCACAGCACTGGCCTCCTAAGTTTACTAAGTGAAAAAATAACTTCTGAGTACTTCATTGAGCATGTGGTTGGTGGGAGAGGGGACTTGCTTTTATGCTCTGAGGATGTCATATATAGATGTAGTCCTGAGATCAAGTTTTGGATCTCAGAATGTGATTTGGGGCAAGTTTTTATAATTGAAACCTACTTTTAAACCTGTAAAATTTGGAATTACGAGGTAAGTTATTATGTGGACTAAGTACATGTAAAAATATTTTATATACAGAAATGCCTTGTAAGTAGTATAAGGTTTTCAGAATTAATGAATTTAACATAAATGTGTCGTTGCAGTTTCACTTTATGATTGAGGTTTTTAATCCTAGCAAAGGAAATGTGTATGTGTAATCTTTTGAAAAGGAACATATTTCTTCAGTTCTCAAGGCAGAAGGTTTTTATGTTGTTGAATTCCTGATTCGAACCCAAAACTTTGAGCATCTCTAGGCTTCTCTTTCTTTTTGTGTCTTATGTAGACGAAGATTCCTAAAGTTCTTCTAAATAACAAAAAGCATTGCACAGTTAAATAACATATGTTTTCTCAAATGATTAATGCCTGCTAGATTTTTCTCAATTTTAAGATTTGTGTAAGTATTTTGTGCTTGCTCTTTTTAAAATTATCAAGTCACAGAAACAGTAAACTGCTAGATTTGTGTGAGCCTTTAACACATTCTTAATTCTTTTAATTTAGTTTACGATACATGCTTACACCATAAATGTGTTATAATTGTATTACATATAAATCATTTAGTCATGGATCTCATATTTTTCCCTGTATTGTATATGATAAATTAGATGCATTGTTGTTTCATGGTGCTTCAGAGACCTTTGAGAGTTCAAGTTAGGCCAGGTCTTCCCCCAACCCTCTAAAAATTTATTTATTTCTATTTGAAAGGCAGATTTACAGAGAGGGGAGACGAAGAGATTTCCATCTGCTGATTGACTCCCCAGTCACAGTGGCTAGAGCTGAGCTGAGCTGAGGCCAGAAACCAGGAGCTTCTTCCGGATCTCCCATATGCAAGCAGGTTCCCAAGGACTTAAGTCATGCTTTGCTGCTTCCCCCATCCTTAAGCAGGGAACCAAATTGGAATGGAGCAGCTGGTGCATAAACTGGCACTCAAGGGAGACCAGTGCTGCCAGTAGAGAATTAACATGCTGAGCCGTTGCACTGACCCCAAAGCCAGTTTTTGACTCACTGTTTTATGATGGAGTGGAGTACCACCCAGTTACATGATCAGTAGGGAAGGGCAGGATTTGAGCTGCTGGAAGAAAAGATATACGTGTTAATGAGCAAGGTTACTTTTAACAAATCGGTTTTTCATAAGTTATGAATTCGATCATTTGGAGAGGAAAATTTCTGATTTTTGTAGTAAATTGCTGTGTTTTGCCTCTCACCAGGTCAGTGTGTGTTTGGACCCCTTCTATCATAGCAAAAAAGAGAAGAAACACTGCAGTGAATGAAGATTCCCCTGCATTTGAGCACTTCGTTTTCTGCTGTAGTTGGCTTTTGAATGAGGATGACAATGGAAGAGATGAAGAATGAAGCGGAGACCACTTCCATGGTTTCTATGCCTCTCTATGCAGTCATGTATCCTGTGTTTAATGAGGTAAGTGATTAAATGCTTCCACATGTGAGCAGTGCAGTGCCGGAGTGTCTAGTTCATGTGTCACTTGTTTGTTCTTTTATATACAAAATACTTGGGTAAATAAGCTACATCTCTGTGTTTGGTGTTATGCCAGGGCGTGAGCTAGTGAAAGCTGCACCGGACGGACACACCTGGCTCCCCTCTGAAGGTCACATTATAGTGAGAGGCTTGGTTATGGAGAAAAGCATATACATCTCGGTAAAAATTATGAAAAGTACATGTAGGGCACAGATATCAATAGAGAAGAGTGGGGCATGTTGTGAATCAGGACAGGGCGCACGGAAGCAGAGATGTGCATGCTAGGAGCTGAGGGAGATGACTGGGCCAGTTGAGTGGAGCTTATCACATTCAAGTAGAGAGCAGAGCAGGCAAAAATCCCGGACCACTTGGCGGTGGGGCTCGTTGCTTTGTTGAAAAGATGCCGCTGCTTTAAAGGTGTGGTCACTCTTTGATGGAAGAATCGTATTAGACTTAAATGTCAATATGTTTTTAGTTTTTCTTTTAAATGAATGTGTTAATGTATGTAGAGACATTTGCAGTTGCAAATCCCTTGGAGAGCTTGTGAATAATCCCCCTCTTTCTGATGGTGAACTGGAACCTTGAAATCGAAATTATTTCCTAAAATTTTCTAATCTGAAATTAACTAGAAATCTTTTGACTCCAACTTCAGTAGCCTCAGCCTTTGTTATTCAGTAGTACTTTTTTTTTTGCTACTTTTTAATTTTTTTTTTTTAACATTTGTTTGTTTACTTGAAAGACAGAATTAGAGCAAGGAGGAAGAGAAGGACAAAATGAGATCTTCCAAGAGCTAATTCACTCTCCAATTGGCCACAGTGGCCAGAGCTGGGCCGGTACAAAGCCAGGAGCTTTATCTGGGTCTCTCATGGGTACAGGACCCAAGCACTGGGCCATTCTTTGCTGCTTTCCCTGGCACATTAGCAGGGAGCTAGACTGGAAGTGGAGCAGCTGAGACTTGAACTGGGACCCATAAAAAAGGCCAGCACTGCAGGATACAGCTTCACCCATTAAGCCCCAGCACCAGTTAGTTCATTTCCCTCACTGAGAATCTCCTGCATCCGATGCACACGCTGCTGAGCTAGATTCGGCAAATTGAGCATCATAGTGTCCATGTTCCTGGCACAGTCTTCGCCAGCACTGTCTCACTGCCAGCTCCAGCTGCAGATCCCTGCTACTTTGTGATAATTCGCTTGCAGCATCATTGATATAATTCCTGTTATGGCTCTAAACTCAGCATTTCCAGGAATTTTTTTACTGTCTTTTGTAAAATATTTTTATCAGCAGGGTTTGAGATTTCAGAACCACTTTTCCCACATAATTGTCCCCACTATCCAGTCCATACTGGTGCCAGGGGGTGACACCATCTGTCTAAACCATGCCTGTGCCTAACAGAATGTGGCCTCCGTGCCAGCATCTGCCAGCTGATGCTGTGGCAAAGCCTAATCAATCCACACTGACATTGGCTTATGAATGTACCACAAAGTAGTCAGCCCAGTTGATGCAGTTGATGCTGATCATGATCCTAAGCCTTGGCATCAGAAAGATACATATTTCTGCTTTACTGTGAAAACTACAAATTTTGTTGCCAATTTAGACAAGAATTTTGTAATGATCACAAAGGAAAATCCAAAATGATGGCTGGGTAAAAGTTTTTGTGTCCCATAACAAGGAGAAATCTGGAACCCAGTGGTCCAGGGCTAGTATTACTATGACTACGTAGCATCAGAAATCAGGTTCTTTTTTGTTCTACCTGCTGGTTTTTTTTTTTTTTAATTATTTATTTGTTTGTTTGTTTATTTATTTTTATTTCCCCTGCTCCCTCCCCAAATCACCTTCCTCTACTGAATTCTCCTATATTATTATAAAATAGCTCTTCATAAACAGTCACATGTTCATCATTGTGAGCATGGACAATGGCAGAGTGTCTAGCCTCCCATTGTCAAGATACAGCTAACGGTTTCATTAGTTGTCCACCTTCGATCTGGGAGTAGAGATGAACACTGCACTGCAGCCTCACATCTGGACATGATAATCTCCATTATACAGTTACCACACATCCCTCTAAAGTGAAAAGCCACAATACAAAATCAGCAGCAGGAAGAAAAATGGAAATTTACAACACCATGAATTTCTCAAGGGGTTTTGATAGTTCAGCAGTCGTGAATTACTGGTAAACTCGCCACTCCAATCACGATGAAATCTCTCCCGAATCCCCTGGCTGCTATAGTCCACCTTAGTGTTGCCCTCTGCCCAGATCTGCACTGCCAGTGATTGGCTGGGTTAGTTGATCAATTTGTTTTGTCTTCTGTCCTCTGCCATGGTACCAGGTGTCCTCTGGAGGCTTCGATGTACTGTTGTATCCTACATATGCATTTGGATATGCTGTCCTCTGCTCCTTCTGAGCCACTGAGGAGACCCAGCTCTGACACATTCACTCCCTAGTCAGCCCATGGAACCTGCAGTTCTCTCCATGGTTAGGGTTCTGAGTCCAGTGGTTCAGTTGGTAGGGAATCACCCAAGACACCTCATCTGAGGCTATCCCAGACCTGATTTTTATGTGTATTTGCCAATATAGAGTGCAGCACAGTCCATCCCCCAAATCAGCCTATGCACACACTGGTAGTCGCAATTGCTGAATTAGTTTTGTCTCCAGCCCCTTGTTTTATGAAATTCGTTGGGTGTTGGAGCCCAGCCTGATCCTGCCCACCACATACTCAGCCTTCACGTAAACCAATGGGAGCTGCAGTCTAGTCGGAGCCACCCACAAAAACCCCCACCAGGTCCATCCTTGCCCTGGTTCTTGTGCTTGCCAGTGTGTACAGCAGACTAATCTGGTCTGTTCCACATCCCATTCAGCTCTCATACATGTTGATGGGTATTGAAGCCCAGTTCGTCCCAACCAGCCTGGCTTTTCCCTAATTCAGCTCACATGCAGGCCATCAGATATATCCCTGCCTGTCCTGATCTGCCCCCATCCCAGCTTTCACGCTCACCAGTGGGAGTAGTGGCCCAGTAGAGGGGCCTTCGCAGGCCCCTCACTGGGGCCATCCCCATCATGGTTGGGTGCTGTGGCCTAGTCTGGAACAGCCCCCTCACCTCTGCATTGCCAGTGGGTCCTGTAGCCTGGCCAGGCCAGGCCCACCCCTATTCCAACTCATGCTAGTGGGGGCTACAGCCTGGCCCAGTCCTGCCAGCTCCCAGTTCCAGCCCTCATGTGGACTGGCTGGTGTTGCGCCCTGACCTGGCCTGACCCACACTCAGTCCTGGTACTCGGATTTGCCAGTTGATGATATGGACTGACCCGGTCTGGCCTGCCCCTGACCTGCACCAAATGTATGCAGGTGGGTACCATATTTTGGCCTGGTCTGGGTTGCTCCCCTTCTTGGTTCTTGCATTCACCTGCAGGGATTGTGTTCTGACAGGACAGGAGTTCCCCAGGCTCCTCCATCTGGATCTCTCCAAATGCCAGATCTTGCGCACACCAGCGAGTCCGTGGGTCAGCCCTGCTTAGTCCACCTCCTGTCCTAGCAGGAACAGTGGCCTTTCCTCACCAGCCCTCACCCATTCCATTCTTCTTGTTGGATGCTACAGCTCAGCCAAGTCTGGTCCATGCCAAAACATAGCTCAAACATAGCTCAGTGGGGGCAGAGACCTGGCCTAGCCCATCCTATACCTACCCTGGTTCTCACGAGTATCAGTGGGTGCTGGATTCTAGCCCAGTCTGGTGCATCCCATACCTAGCCCACACATGTGCTGAGGGATTCAGCAGCTATATCCAGACCACAGCCCCCACCTTTTCCCTCGCGCTCTCCAGTGGGGATCACAACCCGGCCAGGATGTCCCCTTTGCTTTCCAGCCAGGCCTGCTCTGACCTGTCTTAACATTTGCCTTCAGATGCTGTAGCCTGGGCTAAACTAGCCAGCCCCCAATCCCAACTCTCGCTGGCAGTCTGCTCCCATCTCCAGCTCAAGTGAACCGGTAGGTATGATACCCTAGCCCGGCATGACCTGCACTCCAGCCTGGTTTCTGCACTCACCAGTGGGCTAAGATCTGCTCGGCCCTGCCCAGTTCGCCCCCTTCCAAACCCAACCGATACCTTTGCCAATGGGTGGAGCTACCTTGCCCAACTTGCCTGACCTCTAGGTCTGGAACACATGCTCACCAGTGGGAGCTATAGCCCAGTAGGGAAGGCTCCGAGTTTTCCCACTCAGCCCACTCCCAGACTCAGATCTCACATCCTCCAGCAGGTGCTTGGCCCTTGCCCAGCATAGCCTGCCCCTCCATCTTGGCCTTTGTATGAAGTGGTGGATTTTGTGGGCTAGCCCACCCACACCCTGTTTTAAGATGCACATGCAGGTGCTGCAGCTTGGACCTGCCCAGCCTGTTCTCAGCACCAGTACTCATGAGTGTTGGTAGGTTCCATGTTCACCCTAGCTCAGCCCATCACCACCCCAACTCTTGGGCTAACCAGCGGGACTTTTATTTCTATAGGGTTGGGTCCACTTATTCCCCACAGAATCTACCCCAACACCTGGTTCTTTCACGTGCTGGTTAGTGTCATGGCCCAACCTAATGTGACCTGTCCCCTTTTCCAATATTGAATCAGTACTGGGATCTAGCTCTGCTAGGCCCCCAGCCATATGTTTCGTGTGGTATGGCGTGTGGCAGTCAGTGATGCTCTGTGCTGACAAGCTCATCTCAGGACTCCCATGTGGGCTGATGAGTGAGTCTGACACATATTGATATCCCAGTCTCTCTCCTCCATACCACTAGGTCTCAGCGCCCTCACTTACCAGCCAGTACAGTGGCCCTGTTGTTAGGTATCCCTCAGGATTCATTCCTCACTACACATATGGTGTTTGTATCCATGAATATCCCTAGGCAATATTCATCACCCCCAAGTCCCCAGAGCCCTTTGGCGATGGGTGGCCAGCAGGCCAAGC